AGATCGCACTCTTTGTCGCCACTGGAGAGAAGAGGAAATGAGAGAAGACAAGAGAGAGAGAGAGTGTGTAAGAGATAAGAGAGAGTGAGTGTAAACATATATATATATATATATATATATATAATATTTAAAGAGTGCTGTGTTCAACCAAACCACACCCTAAACATATATATATATATAATCTGGGCTGACCGGGCGGGGAGTCGGCGACGACATACGTACCCTCTCATGCCGGCCATAAATATGTTGCATCACCGTCTCCGGCCATGAAGTTCACCTGGGGATTTATTTTAAAACCATCCCGTCCGTAGGGGATATTTTCAGAGAAAAAAACATTCTTATCGGACGGGGGATCGCGGTCCCCGTCGGTTGGGTTCAAAATTGCATCCCTACTCGGCGCATCATACTAACTGCATTTGTATTTCAATCCAATGAATACGTGTTAGTTGTAGCATCATCATATGCCATGTTTAGAATAGCCGAGCCTACTGTAGTTGCATTTTGCATGTGTTACATAGGCATTTCTGTATATATAGGATCATACATGATTTCTAATCAGTTTCTGTTTTTGCTTGGAGTACTCGGTAAGTGTTTATGCTTTAGCATCTTGCATGTATGTGAGTGACTGCCATGATAACATGCTACCATGAGGCTAATTGCTTGATGTGATTTTTATTATGTTTTTTCTTGTTTTTTTTGTTTTACTTATTTTTTTTTTATCTTTTTATTTTTTTTTTATAACTGCCTTGAATGGCCGGGTGAATGTTGGTTATTTGGATTGGAACAAATCATCAACTGTGAGTTTTAAGCCCACTAAATAGTGGCAAAACCATCTTTTCTTAAGCCCACCTGAGGGTGGCAAAATCTGCACTTTAAACCTACTTGCGAGCAGCAAACCATCTTTCAAAAACAAACATGAAATGTTTTGTTCCAATTCAGGCGACATCAGTCTATACTTGTATGCTGTGCGCATCACATAGTAACCTAGGCTAATAACCGGAATAAGAACACATAATGTTTTCAAAATTAGATATCATGGTTAGTAGAGGCCGATCTTTGATCGGGCGAGTGGGGGTGCTGACGAAGTGACCTTCTCTAATCGTACCCAAGTTCCTGAGCCGAGGCAAATTTGGTGATGACGGACACCTGGCCTTAGGCAACGAGTCAGGGTTTCCTAAATTTTCCCAAAATAAATATTTAGGTGGCGACTCTGTATCTGGCAAAGCAGTCCATGTTTGGCACTTCTTTCAAAAAATCTGTTTTCAAAAACGATTTGTCGGATTTGGACTCTTTGATGATTTCATCGGTCTTGCATTGCACTCTGCGAGATTAAATACAGGACCGTGGCATTGAGTCCTGAACTGCAGTGAGCCCAATGAACAAAGCGGGGGGGATTCTCTCGCGGGACGTTCGGGGACGTCTACAATGACACTATATAATAACATGATAAATAAATAGGGTTATGTCAAACCTGCATAATTTGAAATTGACACAGATAACCCATTTAATAGATAATTAGTTATAAATTTTAATGTTATTTTCATTAAAGGATGCCAGAAATGTTTAAATCTCTTATGTAACCTACACAATTAAATAAAGAAAATACGTAAAATAGTATTTTGAGGTTAATATAGTCATTTTGTTTTTTATTTGAGAGAACATGATCTTTTCATTTATTATTTTGAAGTCAATAAATTTTATTTTTTTCGAATAAAATAAAATCAAAATTAAATAAATTTTTTTTGAATAATTTCATTTAGTAGAGATTAGTTTCATGAAATTTAACTTAGGAAAAAACGTTAATCTTTCCATATACTTAGTATTTTTAATTGAAATTCATATTATGAAATTCATATTTGTCATTTTTTTGAAAGATAAAATTGACTTTAACCCCCTTTGCTTTACTCCATGTGTGATTTACCTCTGATATTTGAAAATAAGAACATAACCCCCTTATGACCTAGCACATGTTTCACACTTGATGTTAACTTGGATTGAACGTTTGACGATATACTTCATTTAGTCCACAAACCACGAGAACATTATAGTCATTTCCAAATTATATGGATAGTTTGCACATGCACATTGATGTGAAATTTGCCATTTATTAAATATGCACAATGTCTTGAATTGAATAAATACACCTAGAGGGTAAAATAGTATAGTGAAATAAATCAGGTGACAAATACCATTTCTCATATAGTAGAATGGACGGCAGATTCAAGTATACAACCCTACCTTGATATTACCAAGTGGAATACTGAATAAAGGTGTATATATATCTAGTACTATTATAAAGAGAAGTCTTCTCTGGGTGTTTATGTCTCATATTTTGGGTTTTTCAAAAATACCCCTATATCAGTTATATGGGCAGTTATGCACCAAATTCATTTTTTTTTTTTCAAATCTCTCAACTTTTGAATTTTTTAGATTCATTTCAATTTTTAGATTTTGAATTCAATCATACAGTTTACAGTCTTATTTTCTGAAACAAAATGATCATATATATGTAAGCATGTGGACCTCGAATTGAAATTGCCAGTCCACCTTAATTCTCAATTCATGAATTTCATAATATGAATTTCAATTATCAATTATCAATTATATGAATTTCATAATATGACATTAACAATTCTCAATTATATGAATTTCAATTCACATAATTTTATTCTTAATTAAAAAAATTCCTTTTATTAACAAGCAAAAAATAAAATTTCCAATTCAACAAATATAGGTTGGTTTATTCACAATTCAAAATTCCAAACCCTAATTTCAAAAAATATAGACAAGATTCACAATTTACAATGCAAAAAATATAGACACGATTCAAAATTCAAAATCCTAATTTCTGAAATCACAAGCATAATTTTTGATTTCACAATTCAAAACCTTAACATTTTATGATTTAATAATTTCATAACCACACATTTAAAGCACTAACACATTTCATAATTCAAAACCCTAACACATTTAACCACACATTTCATAATTCAAAACCCTAACACATTTATGATTTCATAACCCTAATTTCTAATTACATAATTTATGATTTCACATTCAATTGAAAACCCTACAAAACTTTCACAATTCAAAATCACAACATTTTTTATCAATTCAAAACCACACATTCATATTTTCACAAACACAATAAACATATAAAATTCAAATGAGACAGAGAGAGATAGATGCCATACCACGAACAGAGAGAGAGAGTGAGAGCAGATAGAGAGTCTGAGAGCACAGGGAGAGCGAGAGTGAGAGAGAGAGCGAGACTCTGAGAGCAGAGTAGAGGGGAGAGCGAGAGCGAGAGCGAGAGTCGAAAAAAACGTAAGTGTAAAAAACGTGATTGCAAATGAGGGGGCTTGGGGGTTTTATATAAGTTGTGAAAGTGTGGTTGCAATCCACGCTTTCATTTATCAACAGTGAAAGCGTGATTGTGAATCACGTTTTCTTAACAAAACAAATATGCACAGTGAAAGCGTGATTGTGAATCACATTTTCTTAGGAAAACAATTTGCTCAGTGAAAGCGTGGTTTGAAACCACGTGTTCTTCAGAAAACAAAATAAGCACAGTAAAAACGTGGTTTGAAACCACGTTTTATGAAGAAAACAAATTTATCTTAAAAGCGTGGTTTGTAACCACGCTTTCTTAATTAAAAGCGTGGTTTGTAATAGCGCTTTCACTATTTCACAAATTTTCTGCTCCAAACAGTGAAAGCGTGATTTGTAATAGCGCTTTAGCCTAGTTTGGGAATTCCGTCCAAACTAGGCATAGTTTGGGAATTAAGATGGTAATTTGGCTTAATATGGCAAAAGCCTCCATTTGTTAACAAGGGGTTGGTTTTAGTGGTAAGACCTTGTTTAAAATTTGGGTTTATGTTTTTATAGTTTTTTATTGAGATTAAACATACTCTTTAGTATTTAGAGTACGCGGGGAGCCTACGCGTAAGTCTGGGATTTTTGCAAATATGCTGTGGGTGCTAAGGAGCGATACTCCTGACGGATATGTTGGGGTAGTTTATCTATATATTCAATTTTTGAATCAAAAAAGAAAAATTTGTTAACAAATGTATTTTTTTGTGATAAATGTTAATTATCATTGTGGGTCAAGTTATCAAAAATTTTGTGAGTTTCAAACATCTTCTACAAAAGATTAAGGCCAAAAATTATGCTGCGTATATTAATTTTGGCTTTAATTTTTTATGAAAAATGTTTGAGATCTTTAAAAAAATTTCTCAATTTAAATATAATATTTTGAATTTATGATTTGTCACGGATTTAATTATATAACTCAGCAGTTCCTTACCCTTCCTCGTTACATTCGCCCATAGCCACCCGTAAAATTGTCACATATGCAAGTAACATGAGTTACACTGCTCAATTTTATCACCTGCACATGTATATACGTTTTGCAATGGTAAAGGTAAAGGGTGTAGGGTCACAAGGGAAGGTGGTTGGGGTGGCCACGGTTTGGGGAGGGAGTTGTTGAGTGATGAGAGATTGGAAGTAGTGGGAGCAACGAGAATGGTAGAAAGAGTGACAGTTTTAGTGCCAATAGTGACGAAAGGTGGGAAGGGGCAAGAGTGGGGATGGTAGAGAAGGGATTAAGGATCAAAAGGAAACGATTTGGGTGTGGAGGAAAGGTTTGTAGTGGTGTCTAATGCAGAGTGGTCGGTAGTCAAGAGTTGTAGAAGGAAAAAAGAAGAAAATGGAGGGGGCACTTTGTTTGGTCAAGTCAATGATAACACACACACACACACACACACACACACATACATACCAAACAGGCACCATAACAGTGAAAATGGGAAATACATTTCAAACAATAATGTATTGCGTGGAATAAGTGCAAAATCTACAAAATCCATAATCCGACTAATTTAAAAGACATATCCATTAAACAGACTTCATCATTTGATTTGATACCCTGAAACTGCATGTGATGCGTTGCTTGATATAGATATAGGTATAGATGAGGGTGAGGCAATTGATTAATGTAATTAAGTACATGGTGGTGGAATTTGGGTGCCAATGTATTTGACTTTAACATTTCTGCAGGAGGAAGTGGCTGTTTTTTCCCCTGACAAGAAATCCAAGTGGACATCTTCTAGGTATATATTCTGGCATGGTATCCCTTTGCTACACTCCAGTGTCACTGCTACTGCTGAAGACGACGTCCCTCTTATCTTCTTAAAATATATGTCACTTAGCTTCACTCGGGATGGTGCCTGCAGTCACCCAAAAAAAAGTAAAATTACTAAACCAAACCAACCAGTTATCTACTGAGCATCTGTGTTTCAACCTTGAAATTCATCCCAAAAAAAAAAACTTGAATAGTTCCAAAGCTGTGCTAGCTAGTCCAACCATTTTTTGCTGCCCTTACAAAAAAATAAAAATAAATAAATAAATAAAAAGATCAGTCCTTTACCAGGGAAGCACAAGATGTGAATGGACAATATTCCTGGTCAATAATGATTGGATTGGTGACATTGTTCATGACAATGTTCTCGAATGTCATGTTTGTGGCAGCGCTCTGATCAGGAGAGTTGGGCCATGTCTTTATCCTAATGCCGTTCATGGTCCCAGTCATGGTGCAATCTCTGACCACAAGGCCTCTTACGTCACCTTCATTTGGATATCTTCCCAAACTTCCCACACTAGACAGATATTCAACCAAACACCAAGATGTATAATTGAAAAGATAAACCGAGTCTACGTATATATGGAACATTGAAATAATAAATATGTATGTCTACCTGATTCCATGACCAGGTCCACAAGTGATGCTTGTGACAGTGACCTGGGAATTTCCTTGTCCAACAGAAATGCAATCATCGCCCGTGCCAATGAGTGACCGAGAAAAATAAACAGAAGTGCTTCTTTCAATATGGATTCCATCAGTATTAGGACTGTTTGCTGGTGCAGAAATATTGATTTCACTCCCTTTGAAGTTCTTACATTCTACGAGAGCTAAGTGAAAGAACTTGCTATTCAGTGATCTTATGCCTCGAACAACTGTTTTGTTCATTGCCACAAATTTCAAATTCTGAAAAAACAATATGTTTGATCATTAGCTTTTCTTCTTATTGGTCTCAAGTTTCAATTCTCTTTGGCTTTTATCATGGCGCCAGCAAGATTTTCACATTTCTTATGCCCCGATTAGTTCCTGAAATTATTAGGTTATTTGATCAATGAAGTTCTTCTCAGAGGCCACTCTAATGTGGCAAAAAGTGGTATACTCTATGAATATAATTACATCAATCACATGTTCAGATGCCTGTTGCGTGTTTTAAGGTTTTAGAGGCCTAATGGAAAGATTCTGACTCAATTTGCCACAAAACTACTGCTAGAACTCTTAAGCAATTTTATGAACATGCTTGATTAAAAAAAGCAATTCAATGGAGTAAGGGTCATGAAACAAACAGTGGGAAGAAGTTTGCAACTCGAATCGATGCTGCACTTGTTGTAAGGCCATGCTTTGGCACCTTGGCCATCAAAAGTCCCGCCTCCGGTCAAGGTCAATCCCTCTACCCATCCAAATTCAACCCAACCTGCACTCAACCCATACTTTGACAAGTCTGTTGTAGCTTTCAAATAACCCTGCAAAGCTCATTTCTTAAATTTGATCAGCTGCGAAAAAATCTGATCTGCAAAATTCTGATGATAGTAGAAGAGAGGTGTGACAAGCAGAAGAAAATTTAAAAAATCTTGCCTTCATTCGAACAATGAGAGAAGATACATTTTCACAGGGGCCAGTGAATTTAATGGGGCCAATCAGGTATGTCCCTTTTGGTATCAGTAGAATTACAGTGCCTGAGAACCCACATGCCTTCTTCCATGCTGCCATGAAGGCCTAAAAACAAAAGTACCAATTGCGCATTAGCCATAAGAATTTCCAATGAGCACATGACGTACATCTTACATGTTAGATCAACCGATCTATATTCCATCCAAGCCCGAACTCTATTAGAGCACATTATGGGTTTCCAATGCTACACATGTACAAAACAATCCATCAAACTCGTTTTGATCTTTAAATGTAATCTTTAGCCAACCATAAGTTGATCATAATATGTTTGTGGATGATTTTCCATTTTGAAATGATGTGAAAGAATGTTAGGATTAGACTAGTATGTCGTAAATTCAGTTGGTAGATCTTTCAATGTTAATTATGATGAAAGGTAAAATGGGGGAATTTATTGGAAATATATAACATAATTATACAGTCTCCCTCTGGCAATTTGAGAGTATAATAGGCAAAAGAACAAACATTTGTGAGTGGAGTAGAAGCATGTTAAAGGGGACCAAAAAAAAAGAAGTTCCCGTTCTCAATTTGAATTTAGAATGCTAGGAATTTCACTAACTCAGTGAACACACGGAGAGGAAAAAAAGAAATGAAGTAAGAAGAAGAAGAGAGATTATAACAAACTTTGGTATCATCATCATGGCCGTTGGCTTGGGCGCCAAAGCTTTTGACATTGAATAGAGTAGAGGAGCTGCTTCCCTTTTGCTGTAAATGTAGTAGGCTTCTGATCTCTCCTCCTCCTCCTCCTACTACTATACCTGAACCTGAACCTGAACCTGAACCTGAAACTGAAGCCGAAGAAGCACCGGCAACTGTATCTGCTCCTAATCCTTGGACAGCAGGCAGAACGTCAAAACAAAAGAGGGTAAACATAAGCAACAAGAAGAGCAGTTTGATAACAGCACTAATGTCTATGATGCTCATCATCTTAATCATGTGTGTTTTCTGAGTGAGTGTTCCACAAATGGGGAGTTGTAACTTGTGAGAGAGAGAGACAGAGTGGAGTGGTCTGGTTTCTTCTAATTAAGTTCAGTAGTATTAATTATATTATGTCTGTTTTTGTAAAATATAAAAAATTTGAAAGGGCAGGCAGGCGGGCTTTTGGAGTTCAAAGGGTAGCAGCAGTAGCAGTAGTAACCGTCCATAACTTCCTCTCCTACCCCACTAACATACATCATTATCGGTATTCAGTAGTTATCAAACCTTCGCCCTACATCAGATAATTTCATATCTTAAACCCAAGACCTTAGGTCTAGAAAAAAACATTTTTATCACTTACACAGCACATAACATATATACTTTTAAATTAAAAAACAAACTATATATTTTATAAATTTAATAGCACATTTATCGGGTGGGCACAGATCGCGTTAGTACTATTACAAAGAGAAGTCTTTAGATGATACAATGTGACATTTTGATTTATGAAAATGTCCAAAATTATGTAAAGAGAAGATTGGAACTCAAGACAAGGCCCTTACCACTTTAGCAGCATATGTGTGCTTTTGAGTCAAAATCAAAAGTTATATTATTTAGATTTACTGAGTAGAAACTACTAGTTATTAGTTATTGTATGAAGTACACACCACACTTGGTGTGAATGTCATGTATTTTTTTCTTTTTTTTAAATTTCAAAATGCCCACAAGAGCAATAGTTATAAGAACAATTAAAAAAAATCTCTCAACTGTCACTACATTCTTTTTTAGAAAATTATAAAGCGTACACTTGTGTGAACACTATCACTTGTTTTTTTTCTTTCCCGAGAATATTCTTCTTATCCAATAATCGTCACATCCAATAACTGTTGAATGATTTTTCTCATTCATTAAACAATTGAAAATTCATAATCAATTTTTTTCTCAATCATCAAACTGTCGAAAAACTTTTAATGTAAAATTGTAAATGCAACGTATTTACATCCACCACTAGTGTGTGTAGAGATGCAATGCCAATACGGGTTGCAAGTAGTTATTAGGATAAAAATTTTGTAAGAAAAAGATTGATAAATTTGAAATTATAATTATAAGTAATTCCTTGCATTGAATTTTTTTTTTAATGTTTTTTAAAATATATATATATATATATAAAATATTACAATACTAATATGGGTTGTACAAGAAATTTAATTATTCTTGTAGTTCTCAATATGTGTGAAAAATTTGGCAGTTGGAAAATCAATTTCTCTTGGTAACAGGAAGCATGTTTGCAATTACTTTGTAAATTAGGAGAATATAAAAAATAAAGAGTTGATTATCTAAAAGTCTTATTTATAAATATTATGGTAGTTTAGGTCTTGTGGGGATATGTTTTCTGAGTCCCAACACGTGGTCAAGGTGACGCTGACGTGTCAGCCGAGGTGCCACGTGTCCAGGTTATGACGCCGGGGTTATCTCGGTTAGGCCGAGGTTATCTCCGAAGATATCGGAAGCCGAGATAAGTGGATAAGGGACAAGAGTCCTAGAATGAGGAAGGACTTTAGTATGGATAAGGATAACACTCTTAGGGAGTTTATCTTTATCTGTTGAAGAGTCCTGGATAAGTACTGAATAGAAGTCCATTGAAGTTAGGCTTCTATGGGGACTAAGATTGAGGTAACTATAAAAGAGAGGCATCCCCGATGGGTCTAAGGTACGAAATTTATATTTTGAACAGTGAGTTTAGCATTATTGATTATCTTTGAGAGATATACTGACTTGATCGTCGGAGTGCCCCCGGGTGGACGAACCATCGCTGGAATCTTCTCTTTCTGTTGCAGGTCAGCTAGGTGTCATCTATTTTGCCAGTTCTCTCCAGTTGATTACTGAGTTGGCAGTGTGATCGAAAAATCACTCACACAATTTGGCGCTGTCTGTAGGAAAGAAAGGAGAATAGATGGCCAGTGACAGACAGAAGGAAAAGATTGGGGATGACACTCCTGCTGGGAGTGGCAGACCTATCGACCTTGACGTCGAAGGAGACAACTGCAACACAGAAATTCGTGACCAAAATCGCAGCAAGAAAGACGTCGGCCAGGATGGTGACATACCAAAGAAGCCAAACCGAAGTGGGTACTACAATGAGGATGACCTCCAGGTATGGAATGATAGATGCTTGTGGAGGGACGAAGAGGTAAAAGAGATGGCAAACAAGTTGGCAGACCTACAACCGGTCGTCAATTTTATGATGCAAAACAACGTCATGCAACCACCATTCCCGCTGTAGGGCACGCCGATTCCAGTGGCCAATATACAGAAGGGAGGACAGAAACCAATCCCAGAAATCCCCCAGCACACTAGGAGTGAAAAACACTCTCACCGGCCTTCAAGGAAGGTCAGACGAGGAGAGTCGAGGAGAGAAGAGTCGCGGAGGACGCATCGCGCCAAGGAGGCAGACCCTAAAGAACATCGGCATGTTCAGGGGCATGCGCTCTGCTTCGACACAAATCACGGAGAAAGATCGAAAAGGACCCACCATGAAGCTGAGAGTAGTATGCCGAAAAGACTGAAGTCAGGAGATAGCCGAGCTCCTGGGCGGAGCAAAGAAGACTTGAGAGATTACCTCAAGAGGAAGCAGCAGAATGCCGATGCCAAGGTAACTTTCCCTGATAAACCGAGAACACCATTCTCAGCAGAGTTAGACAAATTTGAGGCGCCGAAGAGATTCAGTATGCTGAGGTTCCAAATATACGATGGTAAGTCAGACCCCAACTTTCATGTTGGATTATTCCTGAATTCAATGGCGTTGTATAGTGGGAACGAGTCGTTGCTCTGCAAAGTGTTCCCCTCATCTTTTGGGGAGATTACATCAGATTGGTTTCACAAACTACCGAAAGGAAGTGTGAAGACCTGGGAAGGCCTGGCCAAGATGTTTGTGGCCAGGTTCGTGACAAACAAGCTGCAACCATTAAGGGTGGACGCATTAATGGCTCTGAAGATCAATAAGGATGAAGGCCTTAGGGCCTATGCAAAAAGGTACTATGAGGTGTTCAACCGAATACCAGAGTGTAATCAAGAGGTGGCGGTCGTATCTTTTAAGAACGGCCTAAAAGACGACTGTCCACTACGAAAATCTTTGGTAAAGACATTGCCAAAAAGCATAGAAGAGCTCATGGCGAGGATCGAGAAGTATGCCAGAGCCGAAGAAGAAACATCAGGGACCAAGGAGGCAAAGCAAGAAAAGGAAAACGGCTCGCCGAAGTGAGGTCGAGGTAACAACGGATCCAGCAAGCAAGAAATAGGACTGAGGACTACACAGGCAGTGACAATTGTGTTTTGAACCCCAATTCACAAAGTCCTGGATTAAATTCAGAATTAACCCTACTTTAGAACACTAGCAAAGGCACCAGGAGAATTCATGGGAAGAAACCTTGGGAGGCATTGTGCTTAACACAATGAAAACGGGCATATGACTCAGGGATGCAGAACCCTGAAAACATACTTGGAAGACCTGGTGAGGCAAGGCCATCTGAGAGACCTTGTCGATGAGGCCAGAACAAGGGAGGAACAGGCAAAATTGCCTCAGGCGACAGTAGCTTCACCTCCCCCAGCACAGTAACCACAAGTAGGAGGACCTCGGGTAATTAATGTAATTCACTCGAAGGTCAGCGAAAATGAAATTAGGGGGAAGACCCAAAAGGTGAAGCACTTGCAGCATGTCTACCAAGTCGGGGAGAAGAGACATCGGGCACAGGAGTGCCAAGGAGCAGTAGTGTCCTTTTCTAAAGCTGACCTTGAGACGGTGCAGCATCCGTTTAATGATGCCTTGGTAGTATCCCTCCAGGTTGGGGAATGCCAAGTAAAGCGCATCCTGACTGACCAAGGCAGCTCTTGTGACATCATGTACGTCCGATGTTACAAGGAGCTCAGCCTTCACCCAGACGATATGGAGCAATCCAATAGCCCAATGGTCAGGTTCAATGGAACGCCGACATGGCCACTGGGACTAACCAGCTTGGAGGTGCAGGCAGGCACCAGGAAGATAACAATAGAGTTCACCGTAATCGACACACCCTCCCCTTACAACATCATTTTGGGAAGGCCATGGTTGCATGCAATGGGGGTTGTTCCCTCAACATTGCATCAACTATTGCAGTTCCCAACAGAGCATGGGATTGAGGAGGTCAGAGGAGATCAGCTGCAGGCAAAGAATTGCTCCATGGCAGTGATGAAATCCATCTGCAGCATAAGAGAACCAGAGAAGGCAGAGATCGAAGGTGAAGACGTGGAGGTCTTAGAGGATGTCAGTAAGGAGCCAGCCGAGAAGAGTGAAGAAGCACTAAAGAAAATCCTCATCTAGGAGGGGGATGAAGAACGCTTCTTTCTTCTTGGCTTGGGCTTAGCTGAAGAAGAGGAAAAAGAGTTAGAAGTTTTTTTGAGATATTGATGTGTTTGCTTGGACACCTTATGAGATGCCTGGCATTGACCCCGAGGTCACTTGCCATAAACTGAATGTTGATAGGTCGGCAAAACCCGTAATCCAACGAGCAAGAAGACCGACGTTGATACACGTTGAAGCAGTGGAAGAGGAAGTAGACAGACTTCTGGAGGCTAAGGCCATTCGAGAGGTAAATTACTCGACATGGCTATCAAACACAGTGGTGGTGAAGAAGAAGAATGGTAAATGAAGGGTCTGTGTGGACTTTACCAGCCTGAACAAGGCCTGTCCCAAATACAGTTTTCCTCTACCCAAGATTGACCAGCTGGTAGACGCCACTTCGGGGCATGGAAGGATGAGCTTCCTGAATGCTTACAGGGGATACCATCAAATAGCCATATATCCCCCAGATGAGGAGAAGACTGCGTTTATCACCCCAAAAGGTCTGTACTGCTACAGAGTGATGCCTTTTGGGTTGAAAAACGCATGAGCAACTTACCAAAGGCTGGTAACCAAGATGTTCAAGCACCTGATTGGCAGAATGGTGGAAGTTTACATCGATGACATGGTCGTA